TAGGTGGCCCCCAAGAGAGTTCCAAGACGGTTCACGAGGCGCCCAGGATGGCAAAATCGGACTCCAAAATGGCCTAAGAGAGCCCCAAGGCGTGCCCGAGAGGGGTCCCAGAGAAAGCCACTGTAGAATTCCGAGCTTTCGGCCCCAAGAGGCTCCAGGAGGCGCCAAGAGAGCTCCAAGAAGCCCCCACGAGAGACCCAGGACGCCCCAAGAGGCTCCAAAGGCGGCCCAAGAGAGCCCCAAGATGGGCCCGAGAGGGGTTCCACGATTCCTGGGTCTGTGACTCGACAGAACCTAAGCGCGCGCGAAGCGCGCGCGTGGTTCTAGTGTCCATGTACTCTAGGACGGCAATCCTCGCAGTTTGTCGGCACTTCTCCATCTCGGCGAGCGGCTCATCGTGCAGGATCGCGCTGTTGACTACGACATTCGGACCCTCCTGCATCAGGTTCGATGAGACCTCCAGGTTCCTCCCCAGAGCGATTTGATACGGGGAGAAGCCATGAACGCGAAGGAGGGAGTTCTTGGCCACCACCACCGCTCGCACGCATGTCATGTACTCGCTCTCGTCCTTCGGGTTGATCTGATCCAACACTTTGTTCAAGATGACCTCGAACCACGTTCCATGACGCTCAGCATGGCCGACCTGCTCGTGGGCTTCTCCTGCTGCGCCACTAATTTCCATACCCTGCCTCTCGAACGCATCGACAATGTCCTGGCCTAGGTTGGTCTTTCCCGCGTCGCACTTCAGGAACGCAGGCGGTCCGTACGGCTGGCACCACCCACTCTCGAACAGCTCCTTGAGAACCTTGCCAGCTTCCTGGACAAACAAGGGCAGCATCTGCTGGAGACCGCTGCTGGGGCACACGATGTTCAGGGCCTTCATCTTCATTCCTGCCTTACAGCCTGGTAACTCCTTCACGTGCAGCTCGACCAGCCTCAATGGCGCCAGCTTGGACGGCACCTTCACGGGCCGCACAGCCTAGGGAAGCCGCCGTCCCTCATATACCGAGCAGGTAAACGATCACGCTTGATAACCTCGTCGTCATCGGTCGTCGTCAGGGCATCCGCTGTCATGGAGGCGTGATCCAGCTCCAGCTGGCTCACCATGGCTCCGGCTATCCTCTTGCACAGGTCCGTCGTGTGCTTCTCCGAGAATGTACTCCTCTTGGTGCCTCCCGAGCTGTCCCAACACCACTGGTGTTCATGATCGCGAGGACACCGCAGCTCCTTCAGCGTCCACTTGAGCATGTCCGCGTTGGTAGCGAAGCACCACTCCTTGGACATCGGCTGCTTCGTCACCGGGTCCTTCAAACCCACCTGGCACCCGCTGACCCGGACGCGATGTACATTGGACAGCTTGCACAGCGCTAAGACCGATACACAGTCCCAGGACTTTGCCGTTGGAGGTTCCTCTGGCGCAAAGTAACGGCCACTCCTGTTCTGCATCCGAGCTATCACCACACAGAACCTCAGATATCCGACCGCCTCTTTGACAGCACGCCGAAACTTCTCTGGATCTCTCCGCACTTGCTCCACAGTCAGGTTCTGTAAGATCGAGAGGGGTCCGCACGGAGGGCTCATGCCCACGTACTCGGGCTCCTCAACGCCGATCATGTGCAAGATCTTGTGTCGGTCCGCCGAGCGCCTCGCATCCCAGCCGATTCTTCAGGTCGAACGCGCCGAGGTTCTGGAATCCCATGGACTCCAGGACGGGCGTGACGCGCGGCTCTGAGAAGATCTCCAGGCACTTCGGCTGGCGACCCAGCAGGACCTGCGCCTCCAGCACACCCTTGGCCAGCAGCCGCTTGGCCGGCCGGCTCGATGTCGGTAACGCCCTCCGACCACAGCACGTTGGTGTCGTCCCAGTCACCGTCAGCCTCAGGGCTCCATCTCGGCCCTAGCGAAAGCCCGACGGCGCCACGGCGACGATCTCCTCCAGCTCCTTCTGCTCTACCGCCGTCCTCCCGTCGTCCTGCTTTTCGGCCACCAGCACATCGAACTCGGCCGTCTGCATCTTCCTGCCATTCTCGTTCTTCATCTCGCACAGGTTCAGCTGATAGTGACCGCTGGCTGCGACCCAGAGCGGCACGGTAACATTGATCCTCGTAAAGCGGACCTCGTCTCGCTCCATGTCCAGCTGCGCCCCCAGGGCTTCGAGCATGGGCTTACTCACCAGCAACGGGGTCCGACCCCGAACGACACACAGGCGCAGTGCGAGGGTTCTGCCGCCCACTCAGCATTGCAGCTCTGCCGTGTAGACCGACTCGAGCGTCTCCTAGTTGCCGAACCAGAAAGTCGTCGCCTTCGCCTGCTTCAGGATCTTCACGGAGAGGCCTGCCTTCTTCATCTCCGCCTTGTGGTCCTCGAGCGTCTTCTCTCCGATGACGCTCTTGCCGCACCCGGTATCGACCACGCCGGAGCCAGGCTCGTGCGCAAACGCGATCAGTGCTTCCGGGCAGGCCTCCTCCTCGACGGTGTCCGTGGTCAATTTGCAGTACGCCTCGATAACTTCATCCATTTCATCCTGCACTGCCGCGTACGCATCGCGCAGACCGTCAATGGCCTGACGATCTTCGTCGTCCTCGTCAGCGGTCAGCTCGCATTCGCACTCGTCACTGCAGCCGCCCTCATCGTCGTATTGGGGCTGCAGATGCTCATTCTCGCACAGGCCACACTCGAAGCTCTCCTCATCTTCTTCCGCGATGTCGTCGGCGTCGTCCACCACCATGACTCCCTCGTCGGAGTCGCTCTCGATGATATTGACCACGTCCCCGCGCTTCTCGTCGGTCTTGCCCTTTCCTTTGGAGTCTCGTGGTGGTGGCCGTCGTTGTCGTCGAGGCTTCTTGCAATCCGGACTGAAATGGCCGACCTCATCACAGTTGTAACATCTCATTCTCTTGGCCGTGGCCTTCGTGTCTGGCCTCTTGGGGCCGAAACCTCGCGCCAGCTGCTCCTTCGAAATCCGGTTCCGCTGGTCCCGCAGCGACACCAATATCTCGATGGCCTCACTCTCGTCCAGAATGTCCCCATCGCCCTCGGCCTCGGTCGCGTCGTAGCCCGCCAGCAGCGCCGCAATGTCCGAACCGTCTTCGCTCTCGTCGGCCTCCTCCGCCACGTGGGCGCCAAAGGCCTTTGACTGCTGTCCGAAATCCGCCGTGCCGTTGGAGTAGGTCGTCCGGGTCGCCATCGCCACGTCCTTCTCCTTGTACGATCGTCCAGAAACCGCCAACACGACCGCGAGGTTCTGCGGCGCCAGAGATATTCCCAGCAGCAACAAGTACCCGCGCGCCATGTCCGGCAGCACCACGCCCTCGGCCTCGCCCTTGGCGAACGCCGCCTGGGCACGGCCGCAGCACGCCGCCATCGACTCGCCCTTGGGCAGGCGAACCATAAACACCTCCTTCAGCGCCTCTCCCAGCCAGACGTGAACTGCCACGTCAGGGAAACGCGAGTCGAGTGTCTCGAAGATCTGCTGCTCGCCGCCCTCCTGTTCTAGGTCATCCATGTCGACCACCTCCAACGCTCGGGCGGCAACATCGTCCAGAAGCGTGAACAGCATCGGCCCTAGGGCCGTCGTCGGCGTCCCATTCGCCTTCTGCACGATGAGGTACGCCCTTGCCCACTTCTTCCAGGATCTGTAGTCCCGGAAAGCGTCGGCTCTAGTCCCGGCGAACCTCCTGATCGCACCGCCGGGCCCTCCACTGTCCGCGTTCATCTTCACCGTCTGGCGTCCCGCCGGTACTCACCTGAGTGCCTCCCAGTGCGACAGCGCCTGCTATCGCGCGGCACCCTCCGCACTACCAATGCAGATTGGGCTTCGAGGAGGGAGCGCCCGCACCCTCTTTTCCACACCTGTGGCAAGCCAAAATGCTGCAGCATCAACACGCACATTCAGCACGCATGTGAGAAGTACACACATGCACTAACACGCACTGGGCCCGACAGGCCCTGAGATCAGCATGTCCGATGTCTTCAGAGAGGGCTCAGAAGATTCCTTAGAAGGCGCGAGGGCTTCTGAGAACCCCCGCCGATCGGCCGTGTCCGATTTTGTTCATGTCCTGGCGTCGCCGTCGCCGACTCATCGGCGATGCGGCGCGATCCTCCGACCCCATCTACTCCGACCCCAACTGGGAGGCCTCCAAATTCACGTCAGCACGATGGTTCTCAGAGACCTTCGATTTATCCATGTCCGGTTTTGCCCCTGCCCTGGCTTCGTCTTAGTAACCTCAGCCCGATCCGCCCGACGGAGCCGATGCGTCGCCAACATAGCCGATGCATCGCTGATGCAGATCCTCCGACCCCATCTCCGGTAGATTCGCGTCGTGTGGACCCGTTGAGCGCCGCCGGCGACCCGGGCGATCTGACGTCTTGCAAACGACCGCTCGTTCGGGGTGGAGTGCTCCCCGCGGTGTCAGAGACCAACGCCAGGGTCGGCACGGCGCGAGCCTGCCGCACTCGGAGGCGACGATCGGGGCGAATCGCCCAGGGGCGGGCAGTGCACGCAATTCGCCTGGGAGCCTCGCCGAAGGCATGGACCATCGGTGCCCCGGGAGACACCGGAAGGGGGCCAGGACAGGGATAAGTCCGTGCCAGAGCGTTCCAGAGCGCTAGGCCGCGACGCCCGATGTATCCCCCAGAGCCGCCAGATCTCAGAGATTCTCGATGCATCCTCACCCGAATTGATCCTCGTCCTGGCTTCGTCTCAATATATGATATATTGCTCTCCCCTGCGCTATTCGCCCCGCTCGTCGCCCCCGACGTACAATCAGACCGAGGTATAAAATCAAGGTCGGTTCGGGGAGGGCCCCCTAATGTTCTCCGTGCTTGTTGGATGTTCTTGTGCATCCCTGGGAGGGTACCCTTGAATGTTCTGTGTGTTTTGGCCGACGGATGGTCTAATGTGGTTGCAGGATGTTCTCCTGTCCTAGGTCCTATTGCACCTGGAACCCACCCAGGAAGCCTCCGGCAGCCCTCCGCCCGAGCGGCCTCCCCCCCCGGAGGACCCCCCCGGCCAGGGCCCGCCCGCGCACGAGGCGGCTGCGCTGCGCGAGCTGCGCGAGCAGGAGCCCGCCGCGCGGCCTCCCCAGTGGTTCGAAGATGGGGTCCCGAGGGCTGGGGTCCCCGAGGATCCATAGCGGGCAGAGAGCCGTGTGAAATGAATTGTTCCGCCGTCGGGGTCGCCCGCCCGCCCCCCTGGCAGCTGCAAAGTGTATAACGTAGGGGCATAAACTTTGCAGCAGCTCAGGGAGCAGGCGTCCTCGACGGCGGAACCGATTATCTTATACGGTTCTTCGCCCGCTAAGGATGGGAGGGGATCCAAGGGTGGATTTCCTTTGTTTGAGGCATCTCGCCCATATGACCCCGTCCCTCAGGGGCCCATCTTCAACCGCCGACCTTCGCCCACTGCTGTCAGTATCGCTGAGCCGACCCCCCATCCCCAGCAAGGCAAGACAAGAAAGCCGTGCAGCCGTGAAGGGGAGGAGCAGAGGTGCGCACAAAAAACTTCAGGCACCCACAAGATCAAGCTTGTGTACGGATTGTGCCCATCCCGAGCAGCGGCCCCTGGAAAAGACAATGTCAGTATGGGGAGGTCGGCCGTGCGCCACAGCGCCATTTGCACCGCGCGCAGCGCCCGCTCTGAGCTTCTTCGATCCGCTGTGGATCGCCTACAGTCGGACCGAGGTGTAAGATCGAGGTTGGTCCAGGGAGGGTACCCTAGTGTTCTTCGTGTTTGTTGGATGTTATCTTTCATCCTGGAGGAGGGTACCCTCCAATGTTCTGATTGTTCTGGCGGACGTAGGGTCTCATGGTCTTGAATGATTCCATTGAAGGTTGATGTTCTTCTGGCTTAGGTCCGAGTGTACGCCGATCCGTGATCCCCATCCTGATCCCCACCATCCCACCACCCCAGTTGAGCGACGCAAAAAAACGGGGTCGTCCGCTCCGACATTGGCGCGTGAGCTGCCCGCGTAAGGTCGCGCGTGAGCGCCCTCGTCTCCAATGCAGCGTGCCGCGCTGGCGGCCCGCGTAAGCCACCGCGTAAGAAGGTCGCTGTGCGATCTCGCGTTCGACCCGTTTTTGATCGTCGCTCAGTTGGGGATAGGCCCCTCGAGACCCGATGAGGACAGCTCATAGCCCCATCCAGGGGGGGTAGATCGGCCAGCGGGGCCCAGGCCACACCAGTGGGGCTGGGGGGCGGGTGCACAATGCTCATGCTGCGCGAGAGGCCCAGAGGCTGGCACCAACATCAAGACCGGTGGTGTGCCTCCACCGAGGGAATCGGGCGGATGGCAATGGGGGGTGACCTGAATGAGGGGTAACGAAGAGGACCCCAACGGAGCCTTTTAGGGCCCCTTTGGGGTCCCTGCTGGCTCCAATGGGGGCCCGAAAGAGAGCCCCTTTAGGGCCCTTTTCTCCATCCCCCACGTGGGTCACCCCTATGAGTCTGAGGTGGCCCAGCCCTGGGTCCGGCCAGCAAGAAGGGCGGGCAGGTCCGAGGATCTGGGTTCGGGAAGGTTTTCTGCCTGCTTCGGCCTCCAACGGCCGTGTTCGGGCCCTGAGACCGTGAAAAACGTACCTTGGAAGAAAAGCTGCACCAGGTGAACCCCAGGAAGGGTCTGGGAGCCAATTTCGAACGGATTTGGTATCATCCCCCGCTTCTGACTGATGTCCGGGGGTACCAGCCAGTTCAGACCCCCCAGCCGCTTCAAAGCACCAACACTGATATTGGCGGTGTGCCTCCACCGAGGGAAGATGATCCCGATCTCATTGACGGTGGTAAGATTCTCCGGTACCCCTTCACGGCAGCCCCGCACGCCATCGTAATTCCTTCTTTCGAGTGCATTAGTGTCGATCAGCGTCGGGTAGTCGATGAGATAGCGCCGATTTAGTGTCGATCAGCGTCGATGAGTATCGATTTCGCGTCGAGTAGCGCCGACTGATGCTGACGAGCGTCGATCCGCAAGAGGCAACAACATGGTATGGGAGGCTCCCAGGAGTTGCCGCAGAAGAGGGAAGATGATCCCGATCTCGGTGATGGTGGTGAGATTCGGGATTTCTAGGTGGCAGAACGATCATCTTATCCCAACTGAGGCAAACCCCGTCTATTGGTGTCAGTGACCACTGCACACCCCCAGAACGGGTGCTTGGCTCTAGGCCTCCCAGATGGAGTCCGAGTGGATGGGGCCGCATCGGCGATGCGGCTCGATGCGGAGCCCGATGTTCTCCACGCCAGCGTCGCCGATGCATCGCCTGCGCATCGGCGATGTATCGGCGATGCGGCGCGATCCTCCGACCCCACATATTCGGACCCCAGTTGTGAGGCCCCTATGAGAATGTGTCACCCACTGGAGGCATCGAAAGAGGACCCTGCCATGCTCGAGTCGTGGAAAAATCGCGACGGAGGGTTGTTCGGGTCTTCAGGGGCCCTTAATTACCAGGGGCACAAGACCGTCAATCATCGGCGGCAGGGGTAGGGTTCGGAATTCGCCGAACACGTGGCGAAATCCGAACCCTACTCCCGCCTCCCATCGATTTAGGAGAATCGACAGTTGAGGGGGTAGGGTTCGGATGTCGCCGCGGCCTAAAAAAGATCATTCAGGCGAAGGGCCCAACCATGCGGATATCGCCTTCGGGGGATCTCCTCATGGTGCAATGAAGCATGCGAAGGGTGTGCCAATATTGGGCGGGGCCGCCATGTGGGCGCTGCCACTGGTTCGAGGTTTGGTGACGCTTTCGTGTTGTCGGTGGCTCCCCAGCCTCGGGGTGCCTTCAGAGGCTGCGCCTTGCCGAGAGCGTGGCGGGGGTGCCCGGATCGTCCCGTACGGCCGCCCTTGCCGAGCCGAGGTGTGTGTGTGTGACCCGACAACCACGGAAGCAATAATGTTAGATGTCGCGCCACCAGTCTCAGTGCGCCGCCCGCTTCCCTCCCTACAACGCTCTGCGGCCACCCTCCAGGGCCAGGGTTCGATTCGATTCCTCCAGTTCGATTCTATTCGCTTACGATGGTTTCCGATTCCGACCCAATTCGATCTCGGATCTTGGTCTGGATTCCGATGTCTCAATGGAGGCCTAGTACCAGCGTGCCGATTTCTGCCGATTCGATTTCTCCCGACTTGGCTGCCAACTTCCGCCCCGCCAGTCCGAAGTTCGATCTCCGATCCGACGTATCGATTCGATTCTGGGCTCTCCTGCCCTCCTCCTCGCCTCGCCTACGGTGTGTCAAGTCGCCTGGCGCCCCAGCCTGGCTGCTCCAAGGTCCCCGTGCGCGTGCCCAGTGGAGCTGCCCAGCTCGCTCACTAGTCGTGGTCGCGCACTTCGGCTCGTGGGCGGTGCGAACACGCTTACGAGCGCCGCAAAGACATGCCCCCAGACATGATCGCGTCGTTAAAAAGCAAGACGGCAAGTTTTTCGCTCCCTGGGAGCCCTCGCCGGTCCCCGGGAGCGTCAAAAAACAACTCAGGATGACAATGGGGACAGGGTCGGGACTTACGGGGGCGCCGCACGAAAAAATTAGGATGTCGCATGTCTGGGCCCGTTCACCTCGACATGCATGCCGATGTATTGGGCCTCTTCCTTGGCGATCTGACGTCCCTCCTTCAGCGGCTCGAACGTGACTGGGCCGCGGCACGCTGACGAAGACCTTCGTGGTCTGAGGTCCCCCCCCCGCCCGATCCTCCCCTCCGCCGTCGCCCTGCCTCGCTATCGCCTGCCTCTTGCAGTGCACATTTCGCTGTCCACTGCTCCTGGGCCGCTGGACCGGCCCGCGCGCTCGCCAGTGCCGTGACACTACATCCCGCAGTTGCGGATAAGGGCAAGGGGGCAGCGACCTTTGACACATTGCACAAGGGGCCCACCGCGGGCGCCGAATTTTCGTCAGAGCAACGTAGGTGGATCGCTAGTCTCGGGGTGGGCCGTGGGGTGGGTCGTCGGGCAGGTTGCGGGGTGGGTCGCAGGTGGGTCGCGCGATTCGACGACTGAAATGGATTTCGGATTGGACTTGGAACAGACGCGCAGCAACCCTCGTTGATCCCATCCGCGCGGCGCGGAAGCGGGGCCGTCCCGGCGCCACCAGCGGTCGCGACCAGAGGAATGCGTCTCCAAGACCCCCGCTCCGGGAAACCCACAGCTCCCCCCAGCTTGACATCCGAAGTTGCGGCCCGCGAGCCAGGACCACGGCAGAGCCTTCTCCGGCCGAGGCCCCCACAGCAGCAGCCATGTCTTGGGGCGACATGCGCCGACGATTTGCGAGTGACCACCTGCGTCCGCGAGCAGAAGTCAAGCGAGTTTTCCCATACACGCGACTGTTCTTGTGACCACCGATTGGCGGGCGGCGCGGGGCGCGGAGGGTGGGCTTTGGTTGTTCGGCAGCGATTGCGCGTGCCCACATCTCGCATTTTGCTCAACCGCGCCAGCTTCCCGAGCAAAGGCACGGGGAAAACTACCGGCAGTAGCAACTCTGGTCACTTTTCGTCGCCCGAGGCCCCGTGGGGGGATCGCGGGCGAGGACGACGACAACATCAACGCAACAACTATCCGCACCGCGGAACTCCATTTCAGCCGCGCGCCCAGGGACAGCGAATGACCATTCGGCACCTTCACTCATATGTATTTATGCATTCAAATAAATTCGAATTAGGCCTTGTGGGTTTGCGTGGGCCCCCGGCTCCCCGAGCCTCCCGGGGACTCCAAAACGGCACCGGAAGGCCCCCGGAGGGGTCCGAAACGGCGTCGGAGTTCCCCAGAAAAACCCAAGACGGCTTACGGAGGCCCCGAGACGACCCAAGACGGCTTTCAGGCGGCCCAAGATGTTCTCCAGACGGCCCCATACGCCCCAAAGACGCCCCCGGACGGCTCCGGGGGGGTACGAGGGCTCCCCCAGGAGGGCTCCATCAAGCAAAAATGGCCACATTCCCTCCGTAAAATGCACGTTTTCAACAGATTCGACATTTTCCTTTACGAAGCGTCCAAGATAGCCCCAGAGGCCTCCAAGATTGCCCAAGACGGCCCCCAAGAGGGCCCAAAGATGGCTCAGACGGCCCCAGGACGGCCCAAGGGGCGCCCAAG